CACAAACATAGACACATAGATAGACGCATACATAGACACAAACATGGTACATACACAGAAATATACATAGACATATACATAGACACATTCATAGATACATATATAGACACATAAATAGACACATACATAGAAACACATATACATAGACACATACATAGCCACATAAATAGACATATATATAGACACATACATATACAAATATATCGACACATACATAGACACATACATAGACACATACACAGAAATATACATAGACACATACATAGACACATAAATAGACACATACATAAACACATACATAGACACATACATAGACACAAACATAGATACATACACAGAAATATACATAGACACAAACATAGACACATACATAGACAAATATATAGACACGTACATAGACACACGTAAACATAGATACATACATATACACATACATAGATTCATACATATACACATACATNAACATAGACACTTATATAGACACATACATAGAAACATACACATAGACACATACATAGAAACATACATAGACACATACATAGACACATGCATAGACACATACATGGACATAGACGCAAACATAGACACATACATAGACAAATACATAGAAACATACATAGACACATACATATAGACACATACATCAACACATACATAAACGCATACATAAACACATACATATATAGACACATACATACACACACACATAAACACATTCATAGATACATACAAAAACACATACATTGACACATATATAGATACATACATAAACACATACATAGAAACATACATACACACAAACATACATAATCCTTCTTCTTCCATTGGTATTAAGGGCTTTTATCCTAATTTAGTATGGAGCATCCCTGGGCCATTGGGATTTAATTTGGTATAAGCAGTGGGTTTGGTCTCCCAGGTGGCAGAAGGGCGGGGCCCAAAAGGAGAAATAGAGGTAAAACCTTTAAAACCCTTCTCCGACCATCGGGATTAAGTGATTTTATCCTTATTTAGTCTGGAGCATCCTTAGGCCAAGGGGACTCAAATTTGTATAATTGGTGGGTATCACCCCCTAGGGGCATAGGGGTGGGGCTCTATTTGAAGTTTGTTCTCGCTATATCTCAAGTACTGGATGGATCTTTCTGAAATCTCATATGTACTTACAGCACCTACCATTAAGTGCTATATCTTTACTTCATACCAATTGTTTTAAACATATTCATGTGAGCGATACAGGCTCTCCGGGCCTCTTGTTAATTTAAGTTTTTCTTAGATTTCCAACCTGTTATCGCATTTCAAAGTCAAATTTCGCGCTGTCTGTCAATGGGACCTGTTCTTGTGACGTCACGAGAACACGCAACCGTTCCCGGCAAAAAATACAGTTCGTGGAAATAAACACAAAATGATCAATTTAATTTCAACAATTTAATCAATAAATTGCACCCTGAAAATATTTACCTTTTATACAACATAACTACATGAATTGTAGCGAGTTGCATTGATCATCGTTCAAAACGACGACGTCATTTAGTCATGACGTCACAAACATGTTCTTCATATCACTACACCAATGGGAATTATGTGAGTATCATGATCTGATACCTTTCTATTTTGTTTGGTAAGGTGGCAATGCAGAGCAAATGGAAATATTTGAAAATAATCTCCTCCTTCGGGTTGGATACAAAATAAGTAGGAATCCGAAAAAACACCCACAAACAGTTGGTTACTTACGAGTTGTTAAACGTCAGTGTGTTTCAGTAAATGAAACTCAACCTGCTTAGCAGACGACAGCCAATTTTTTATAAAATCATTGCAATATATTTAATAGGATTTAAAAGGAAAAACGATGGACGCAGACAGATATCTGCCTCTATATCCATATCAATGATACAATACATAAGTTAATAAATTAACATTCAATTTTATTATAAAACACTTATAATTTGCCAATGATCATATTTCATATCCATATTTTTCTTGTGTTCATCTAAATTGACCTCGAGTTCTTTAATTGTAGGTTGAGTCTATAACTCTGTGGGAAGCTGTTCCTATTCTTACAGTTCAGTGCCCGTATTCATGAAACCGTTCTCAAGCTCAAGCATGGATTTTGTGCTCAAACCTAATTTCTTGATCCGGTTATCAATTAGAAATAATATCATAATTTGTCAATGACTTTTTGGGGAAAATGAAGTGACTTAAAGCCAAACACTGTTTACAATGTTACATTTAACATTTGACATTTTGATCGTTCAAATGTCTCCTCGCATCCATTGGTATTTTGAAAAAATGTATAGTGATATAATGACGGACAAAGGAAACACGAGTAGACGACACATAACGATTGCGTCGTTGTGCGTTTTATCATAACCCATATTTTGATAGAAAAAAAATACTTAATGCATTTACAAAACATTATAAAAGAACATAGAAAACAGCATTATGTACATGTACGCCGAAAATGAAAACCGGAAAACAGCACTTTACATGTACTACACAGAAAATGAAAGCGAAAGTACAAAGTGTTTTCAAACGTAAACAGTCTACATTGACAGTAGTAGGTTCCCGTGATCAACTTTCAAGAAGTTTATCAATACACATAAATCGTCATAGGCTACAAACGGGCATAGTAAACCTGCTTGTATACATGTACGTGACAGGTCACTCGTCTAGCCGCCATGATCAAATATTCGACTCCAGACTGTCCTGTTGTAGAGATGTGGGACAAATCGCGTAATTTCTGCTAGAGGATGGACTCGTTTGACCGTAAGTGTATGCCAGTCACAACAAAACTACGTACAACTCCTGAAATTTCATATGTAGCTTGCCGCACTTCTAAGTGTAGGGTAAATGTTTCGTGTGTGACTTCTGAGTGTCGGGTAAATGTTTCGTGTGTACGTTTTATATGTCAGTTTTTATGTATTGATTGTATATATATAAGTAGCGTTCCAGTATATTGCCGACGTGTCATGTGTGTAAATGTATGTAGTGTTTCTGAATATTACCGACGTGGTTTTTTTATGTAGTGTTCCGGTATATATGAAGTGCTCCGGTATATTGACGACGTGTCGTGTGTGTACATAAATGAAGTATTCCGGTATATTGCCGAGGTGTCGTGTGTGTACGTTTATGAAGTGTTCCGGTATATTGCCGACGTGGCGTGTTAGTACATATATGAAGTGTTCCGGTATATTGCCGACGCGTCGTGTGTGTACATATATGAAGTGTTCCGGTATATTGCCGACGTGTCGTGTGTGTACTTATATGAAGTGTTCCGGTATATTGCCGACGTGGCGTGTGTGTACATATATGAAGTGTTCCGGTATATTGCCGACGTGGCATGTGTGTAGTTAATGTATATTGCCGACGTATCGTGTGTGTACGTATATGAAGTGTTCCGGTATATTGCCGACGTGGCATGTGTGTAGTTAATGTATATTGCCGACGTATCGTGTGTGTACTTATATGAAGTGTTCCGGTATATTGCCGACGTGGCATGTGTGTAGTTAATGTATATTGCCGACGTATCGTGTGTGTACGTATATGAAGTGTTCCGGTATATTGCCGACGTGGCGTGTTTGTACATATATGAAGTGTTCCGGTATATATATATAAGTAGCGTTCCAGTATATTGCCGACGTGTCATGTGTGTAAAAGTATGTAGTGTTTCTGAATATTACCGACGTGGTTTTTTTAGGTAGTGTTCCGGTATATATGAAGTGCTCCGGTATATTGACGACGTGTCGTGTGTGTACATAAATGAAGTATTCCGGTATATTGCCGAGGTGTCGTGTGTGTTCGTTTATGAAGTGTTCCGGTATATTGCCGACGTGGCGTGTGTGTTCATATATGAAGCGTTCCGGTATATCGCCGACGTGTCGTGTGTGTACATATATGAAGTGTTAATGTATATTGCCGACGTGTGTTTTGTGTACATATATAAAGTGTTCCGGTATATTGCCAACGTGTCGTGTAATTGCCGACGTGGCGTGTGTGTACATATATGAAGTGTTCCGGTATATTGCCGACGCGTCGTGTGTGCACATATATGAAGTGTTCCGGTATATTGCCGACGCGTCGTGTGTGTACATATATGAAGTGTTCCGGTATATTGCCGACGCGTCGTGTGTGCACATATATGAAGTGTTCCGGTATATTGCCGACGTGGCGTGTTAGTACATATATGAAGTGTTCCGGTATATTGCCGACGCGTCGTGTGTGCACATATATGAAGTGTTCCGGTATATTGCCGACGCGTCGTGTGTGCACATATATGAAGTGTTCCGGTATATTGCCGACGCGTCGTGTGTGCACATATATGAAGTGTTCCGGTATATTGCCGACGCGTCGTGTGTGCACATATATGAAGTGTTCCGGTATATTGCCGACGCGTCGTGTGTGCACATATATGAAGTGTTCCGGTATATTGCCGACGCGTCGTGTGTGCACATATATGAAGTGTTCCGGTATATTGCCGACGCGTCGTGTGTGCACATATATGAAGTGTTCCGGTATATTGCCGACGTGGCGTGTGTGTACATATATAAAGCGTTCCGGTATATTGCCGACGTGGCGTGTGTGTACAGATATGAAGTGTTCCGGTATATTGCCGACGTGTCGTGTTTGTATATAACTAAAGTGTTAATGTATATTGCCGACGTGTCGTGTTTGTACATATATGAAGTGTTCCGGTATATTGCCGACGTGTCGTGTGTGTATATAACTAAAGTGTTAATGTATATTGCCGACGTGTCGTGTTTGTACATATATGAAGTGTTAATGTATATTGCTGACGTATATTTTGTGTACATATATGAAGTGTTCCGGTATATTGCCGACGTGGCATGTGTGTACATATATGAAGTGTTCCGGTATATTGCCGACGTGGCGTGTGTGTACAAATATGTAGCGTTACGGTATATTGCCGACGTGTCGTGTGTGTACATAAATGAAGTGTTAATGTATATTGCCGACGTGTGTTTTGTGTACATATATAAAGTGTTCCGGTATATTGCCAACGTGTCGTGTGTGTACATATATGAAGTGTTAATGTATATTGCCGACGTGTATTTTGTGTACATAAATGAAATGTTAATGTATATTGCCGACGTGTGTTTTGTGTACATATATAAAGTGTTCCGGTATATTGCCAACGTGTCGTGTATGTACATATATAAAGTGTTAATGTATATTGCCGACGTGTCGTGTGTGTACATATATAAAGTGTTCCGGTATATTGCCGACGTGTCGTGTGTGTACATATATGAAGTGTTAATGTATATTGCCGACGTGTGTTTTGTGTTTATATATGAAGTGTAAATGTATTTTGCCGACGTGTCGTGTGTGTACATATATAAACTGTAAATGTCGAATTGCCGACGTGTCGTGTGTGTACATATATGAAGTGTTAATGGATATTGCCGACGTGTGTTTTGTGTATATATCTAAAGTTTTCCGGTATTTTGCCCTCGTGTCGTGTGTGTATATAACTAAAGTGTTCCGGTATATTGCCGTCTTGTGTTGGTTAATATATAGCCTCCGGGGTATCGCCGACGTGTCTTTTGTGTATTTATATGTAGCATTCTGGTATATCGCCGACGTTGAGTGTTTGTACATATATGTATCGTTCCGGTATATATGAAGTGTTCGGGGGTATTGCCGACATGTCGTGTGTGTACATAGGAAGTTTTCCGGTATATTGCCGACGTGTCGTGTGTGAACATATATGAAGTGTTCCGGTATATTGCCGACGTGGCGTGTTTGTACAGATATTTAGCGTTCCGGTATATATGAAGTGTTACGGTATATTGCCGACGTGTCGTGGGTGTACATAAATGTAGCGTTCCTGTTTATTACAGACGTTTCGTATATGTAGATATATGATATGAAGCGTTCCGGTATATATGAAGTGTTACGGGATATTGCCGACGTGTCGTGTGAGAACATATATGTAGCGTTGTGGCGTATCGCCGACATTTTTTTGTGTACAAATATGTAGCGTTCCGCTATATTGCCGACGTGGCGTGGGAGTACAAATATGTAGAGTTCCGCTATATTGCCGACGTGTCGTGTGAGAACATATATGTAGCGTTATGGTGTATCGCCGACATAAGTGTTAATGCATATTGCCGACGTGTATTTTGTGTACATATATGTAGCGTTGTGGTGTATTACCGACGTGTATTTTGTGTACATCAATGTAGTGTTCTGGTGTATCACCGACATGTATTTTGTGTACATATATGTAGCGTTGTGGTGTATCGCCGACATTTTTTTGTGTACATATATGTAGCGTTCCGGTGTATCGCCGACATGTATTTTGTGTACATATATGTAGGGTTGTGGTGTATCACCGACGTGTATTTTGTGTACATATTTCTTACCTGGTATTTGCAGATATGAAGGCGTATTTACATGTCTTGTTCATATGTAAGATTTGTTTTATGATCATATCTTGATTCAAGATTTTCTGGGCCTAGCACTAGCAAAAGACATTTCTGTTGTGGCATTTGCATTTGTTATCGTTGTCAGTTGATACCTAAAGTTTAAATTTCACGCGCAAGCTCCCAATACTCATGAAATAGCGTAGTTTTGACAAATGGACTGACTCAACATGAAACACATGAGTGTAAACGTACCTTCGGGTCGCAACTGAAAACGGTCACATACATGTATGAGAATGGCGCACCGCCAAAAGATCTTTCTCGAAAACAGTTTTTCCAAAAAAAGTTGTGAGATCATTCATCAATTATCAATTTGCAGCCATATTAGAGCAGAAACGGAGAAACATTTTTTCTGTAGTGAATGTCGTTTAATTTGGTCTCAATTTATCTACAAAATAAATAGATGAAAAATAAATAGTTATAATATTAGCAATGTTTTCAAAGGGTAATGGTTACCACTTCACTTGCTGTAACAGAAACAAAGGGCATGTTTGCTTTAATTGATAAGACAAATATCGATAATATACAACATTTACATAGCGCCCTAAATAATTTGTAAATTACTCTAAAGCGTATAACATCACATGGACAATAGTATTATTATAATTGTTAAACAAAAAAGGGCTTACCATCACCATTGTACATTAAGCAAGAAGATAATCATCTCGATGTGCACATAAATGAATAAATAAATTGTGATATGTACACAACGTCCGTTCAAATAGCCTAAAATGCAGACGTGAAGAGGTGAGAACACCTTTATATCTGGACAATATTACCGTTCCCCACATTCCATTCTGATACCATTTTAACTCGGGGGGGGGGGTTCAAAATCAATGAACGTGAAAAAAGTGATAGAAGCCAAAGATGCATTTCATATCTCACTTCCATATCTCCATTTTTTATTCTATCAAACTTTGATTACTATTCAACATAACATAATTGGAGATAATGTATTATTTTTCAGATTTATGTTTACAACCTATCTCGTTGATTTATAGGTCGGTTATCTGCTTCTTCCTGCACATTTGAACTTGAGCCAAGTATTTCAGTCGTATAATCTTTGTTATGATATTTTTACTTAAACTGATAACAGGTAAACACAAAAGTAAACACACAGTGGCAACTGCATTCTATATATTATGTAATTCAGCGTAAGCTATTCCTCTAAAGGTAGATTTTTTCAGGTAACGTATCGTGTAACCTTTTAAAAAGTGATGACGTCATAACTCCCAATGTTTGACGCGACATTTGTTATTTTAACTAGTGATTGGTCTAAATTGCTCAGCAGCGAAATTAAACGCAATGTTGTGTTTTGTGCCAAAAAAATGTTTTGGTCATTAAAGAATATATAGGTATTGACTTCAAAGTGTTGTCTGAATTTTAAAATTTAATTGTGAGGAATAACTAAAACTAATAAACTGAAGTTATGACGCACACTATACACACTTAATGATAAATAAGCGCAATAATATATTCCATAGCTGTCATTATAACTCATATTACTGCCGCCTAAGGAAAACTATGGCCCGAATACTCTATACAAAACGTTCAACAATGAATTGCATTGATGTTTTATATTGTTTTTGTATATATAACGCCTCTATTATGCAACGTGAGGTTTAAATACACCAGGTTACAAAGCCTTGCAAGGCCTGCATAAACGTGTTTATACCCGCAAATATTGCATATAAGAATAGACAAACCGGTTGAATCGGATACGCGTATCCATTCTAGTTTGATAATATTGCTTAAGGATCCGCGTACCACTGCCAAAATCTGTAACTATGAATATGCATTTTTTTTACCAATTTATAGCGAAGGGCAATGTGAGCTTATGCCGTGGCAAGGCGTTCGTTGTCCGTCGTCCGTCCGGCGTCAACTTTTCCATTTAAACGACTTCTTCTCAATAACCAACAAGCCAAATGTCATGATATTTGGCAGGTTGGTTGCTGGGATGAAGCCCAATAAAGTTTGTAAAAGGAAATGACCTTGACCAATATTCAAGGTCACAGGGGTCAAATTTGTTGAAACTTTTAAACGACTTCCTCTGGTTAACCAAAAGGCCAAGAAGCGTGATATCTTGCTGATAGGTTCCTAGGATGAAGCCTGACAAAGTTTGCGAAAAGAAATTATTTTGACCTATATTGAAGGTCACAGTGGTCAAATTTGTTAAATCCTTCAAACAACTTCTTCTGATGAACCAAAAGGCCCAGAAGCGTGATATCTAGCTGATAGGTTCCTAGGATGAAGCCCAACAAAGTTTGCGAAAAGAAATGACATTTGCCCATATTCAAGGTCACAGGGGTCAAATTTCTTGAAACCTTTAAACGACTTTTCTGATGAACCAAAAGGCCCAGAGGCGTTATATTTGGCTGATAGGTTCCTAGGATGAAGCCTGACAAAGTTGCGAAAAGAAATGACATTTGCCCATATTCAAGGTCACGGGGGTCATATATGTTCAAAACTTTTAACAACTTCTTCTTAATAACCAAGAGACTCATGCTGATAATATTTGGCTAGTGCATGCTGGGATGAAGAGCTGCCAAGTTTGTTCAAATGAATGACCTTTGCCTATTGTCAAGGTCATAGGGGTCAAATATGTTAAAAATATTAAACAACTTCCTCTAAATAACCAAGAGGCACAGGCTGAAGATATTTGGCCAGTAAGATGCTGGGATAAAGGGCTACGGTGTTTGTTCAAATGAATGACCTTCGCTCATATGCAAGGTCACAGGGGTTATTTGTCTTAAAACACTTAACAACAACTTCTCAATAACTTAAGGTTCCAGGGTGATCGGTTGTTCATGTGAATGACCTTGATATACTTTCAAGGTCACATCTGGTCCAGAGTGCATAAATCTTTAAATAAACAAAAGCTTTAGGGCCATTAGGGTGATGTTTGACAAGTCGCATTCTGTAAGGAAGGCTATAGAGTTTGTTCAATGTAATGTCCATGTTTGGCTTTTAAGGTCACATGGGTCAAATGTGTTTTAATCTTTTAATACGTTCTTTTGAATGACTTCAGTCAAGACACTGATATTTTGCCTGTAGCATTATTTTAGTCCACTCTTGAAGTTACAATTGTGAGATTATTACAAGGTGAGCGATACAGACCCATTGGGCTTTTTGTTTTCTCATGTGACCATAGCTTTATTAAATCATTTCTGTACAGAAAACCATACATTGCGAAAAGAATTATGAAAAACAATTATAAAAAAGACAATAAACAATAAACAACATTATTTTTTGTTCAAAAATACAAAGAGGGTATATCGATATTTGCACCCTTGACCCTCGATCACACTGTCGTTGCCTAATCAGCAGTAAATCCATTTTCCTACAACACATTATATACATATATCCGAAAAAAGGGAGGTTACTCAATATATAAAAATTGGAGTCGTATTTTTTGTTGTTTTGTTGGAGAGAGATCCTCAAGTCTAAAGTGGCTGTTGTTAACTCAGCACGATATGCGCATGTTGTACGAACACTCAATTTCATGATCAATGTCCTAATACAGGAGAAACCATAGAGAATTATACAGTGTTTTTTTCGAATATATAGTCAAACCTCCCCTCAATTTCGTTTTGGATGTAGCTGTAGCGCAATTGAGCCAGGGCATTCTGTTGACCAGGTAGCTTAATCGATTAGAGCAAGAGTATATCAATCAGAAGTCTACGGTTCGAAACTTGTTCCAGCCTTGCTGAATCTTTCAAGCTCAGAAACCCCCGCAGGTTCGGTGAAAGAATAGGCCTGTTGTATCTCACTTCCTGTCGGGGTTTTCATCTGTAACCACAATTAATATGCTGCCCAATGCAACATTTCTTTCTACTTCTTAAAAAAACCTGTTTGTTTCCTAGTGACCTGCATGGCAATACCTCATTTTTGGCCTTAGTGGTGAGCGTTCGCCCAAGTTGGGTGAACAATGGGTTCTGTCCCCTGGCCGGTGCATACCAAAGTCCTTAAAATGGTATTTGTTATTCCCCGCTTTATGTGTAGCTTTTAAGGTTATCACAACAACTGCTTTACCCATTGTAGGTATGTGATCGGGTGGAATATTATACTAGAGGAATCATGATTCCAATACATATGGTAATCAGTTAATTATATGGTTAGGAAACATATTTAATATTTGTCATACTGTAAAAGTTCACATTTTTGCGGCAGTCTCGTGGTAACGCTTTTCGTGCTATGATTTAAGCGCTAAATTATGAAAGTGCCTATCGAAATTATTGTATTATTTTTATTCCGTCTTTGCATATTGCCGAGTTATCTTCCCTTGTGAGCAGGTATTGATTGTTACGTCATTGGTTTGTGTGAGAAAATTACGTCGTTTTCTCAAAAATTGATGACGTTCCTCTCACAAACCAATGACGTAACAATCAATACCTGCTCACAAGAGAAGATAACTCTGCAATACGAAAAGACGGAATTGAATATTTTCGGGGTGTACCAATGCATAAATTCGCTAATCTATCAAAATTCGATAATACGCTAAACTTTGAGAATGCTGAAATACGTTCGTTTATAATATGACTTTTTCAATAATATTTCATTTTATACAAAACAATATAAAAACAAAACTGTCTCCCGTTCTGAATATTGAGTCAACACAATATTCGATTGTGACCTCAATTCCGGAGTGATATTACACACGTTACATAAACATAATTTATGTGATGGCTTTATGACACTGCAGAACATGGTATTCATATGACGTCACAACCGAATAGGAACAGTCAATGTGACGTCACGTCATTTTGAAGCAGACGCAATTTTCATCGTTTCAGAGGTGGCTAAGTACAAAATATTCGTTGCAGATCACAATTATACAGTTTGCTTTGTGTTAAATGATAAAAAGAATCTTTCATTCGTTTCCCTTCATATAAGATTTATGAAACTCGTTTACGATTTTTCATTTTTTTCATATGATAAAGGGAATCGGTCATTCGTTTGTCAACATATCTATATTTATGATACTCGTTTTTAATTTTTGAATTGATAAACTTCCTTCAGGATTCCTGTCCCATTGCACTGTGGTTTCACGTAAATACAGTAATTTCCCATTGATTTCGTTTTGGTGATGACTGTTGCTTAGTTGGTCAAGACCTCTTCTGTTGACCTGTTACTCAGTCGGATCGAGGACAATATAGCATTTCGAGGTCCAGGATTTGAATTCTGGTTAAGCCACACTGATTTTGTTTTCACTTCGATCACTCGCTGATTGTTTTTATATTTTTTTGTTTTTATTTATTTGTTCCTTCTCTATTCATTTTGCATAATAAAAACTGCAATGCATACTTTTTCCCTTAAATGGTAATAAAAGCAAAAGTCTTGCTGGAAAATAGTTTTGATTACATAGTTACAGTTTTTGGCAGTGATACGAGAATTCTTAATACACTAATTTGTATACCACAACATTTAAAGACGAGATCAACTGAATTACATACGGTGTTTCTATTACAGAGGGTGTAAATTCAAGCGCAAAAAGGAACTTAGCTACAACGACATGAAACTGTAAGTAGATAATATCCTTCATAGCGACAGGATTTTAAAATGGCATGGGGAAAAGCACCACAAATGTTCACTGGCGATCAGTTGACATCGTTACTCACTGAATCGGAGACATGCGCAGATGTCCTGGATTTCCTAGTTACCAAAGAGAGACAGCAGACAGAGTTGACCTTGAGTCGGCCCGGACTAGCACCTGATTACGTAACACAAATGGTGTTAGTCCTGCTAAAGGCCTCACAGTGCAAGACGAATGAAGTAGGCGTCATAGATCTCCTCACCATCCTGGTTGGTTCAAAGTTCTTCATGTGCGAGCTGGTAGCTACGTCATCAACGTTTACATGCCATACTGAAGGAGAAGACGCTCTCAGATTTATTGATAATTTAGTTGAAATACTTCAACAAGTGCATCGGCTGCTTCCGAACTTGTTCAACAACGCTTTTTCTCTGATTATCATCTTAAAGAAAAAAACAGAAGACATACTTATGACATCTACAGAAGAACAACGACAACGTGTTGTAAAATTGTCAGAAAAGCTATCAGAAATGAGAGACAATGTCATGAAGGTATTAGTGTCGTGTCCTCAAGACGATCCTCGGTTTCCGTTTGAGAGACAAGCCCCACCAGACGACTTCCGTAACATCCCAATACTACCCAGAGTTGTCGATATCTTTTTAAGATCTCGCGGTTCATTTCTACGTAAAAATAAATCACGTGGTGGCTACAACGACCTGAATCATTACTTGGACGTCCAGTTCCGCCTATTAAGAGAAGACTGCATCTGTCCCTTACGCGAAGGAATTACCCAGTACGTGCAAGAGACGAGCACTGGATGCCATGTTCGCCGACTTCAGAACGGCAGACTTTACAGGAATGTAACGGTAAAGAAACATGGCCACTACTTGGAAGAGAAACTATTCGAAGTTACACTTGATAGTCAACATGCCCAGAAAATTAATTGGAAGTCTTCCAAAAGACTTTTGCACGGATCGCTTCTTTGTTTCTCGGCCGACAATTTCCATACAATGGAATTTGCTGTAGTTGAAAGCCCGGACAGACAAATGCTCGCTGAATCATACATTTTTCCTGCTATTTTCCCCACTTTTGCCGAAATTGAACTCAGTACTAAATATACAATGGTTGAATCTTCTGCTTTCTTCGAAAGTTACCGGCACGTTCTAGAAGGTCTGCAGAACATAGAAAAGCTCCCGTTAGAACAATACATCGTTGATTGTAAAAACAGCATAAATCCACCTAGGTACCTACAAAATGATTCGTCAGAATATGACTTGGAGCCAATTGCTTCTGACCGACTCCTGACAACAGCATTGGATACTAAAAGGAAAACAGAGAATAATCTCCAAGTTAGACTACATGACCCTATGAGCCAGTGGCCAAGGGCTGATGTTCTCCACCTCGACCAGTCCCAGTACGTAGCTTACCATGCTGCCCTAACGCAGGAGTTTGTTCTTATACAAGGTCCACCAGGCACTGGAAAAACACATGTTGGCATCCAGATTGTAAAAACTCTCCTGCATAACAAAAACGTATGGAGTCAGCCTTCCAAAACAGAGGAGGCAGGTTTATTAACTACTAGACCACTGGGGAAAAACTCAGATCAAAAGAATAACCAATTGCTTGTAGTTTGTTTCACAAACCATGCCCTCGATCAATTCCTTGAAGGAATTGTTGGTTGTTTTGAAGGCGAAAACAGGGCGCTCTTGCAAAATGAAATTGTGCGAGTAGGCAGTCAATGTAAAAATCTTACAATCGAGCCTTTCAACCTGAAGAATCACAAAAAAGACTTTCACTGTGACTACACTAAACTTGAAAAGCTGAGAAAGACTGCAACCGCGCTACACACTCAACTGTTAACGATCCATATCAGCTTACGAAACCTGCAAACCACAATACTGGAATTCGAGATACTTAGGCCTGTCATGTCGCAAAGGCACGCGGATGCATTCGCCTGTGATACACCCCATGCATCATCTCAAAAACTTTACCAGTGGCTTAAGGCAGGAAAAGGCCCATGGATAAAAAAGGCCAGTCAAGCATACAAGAAATCACTTAAAACAACAAAACAACCAAAGCATGACCACGCCAATCGACAAAATGCAGTTAATCAGGATTTCATAGACACAGAAGCCGATAAAGCTGAAGAAGAGATCCGTATCGACGACGACGACCTTCATTTAGCAACCCGTTTGAAGATTGGGCTTGATATCAAGGAGGAAATTCAAAATATCCTGAAACCGAAACATGAGTATATGCCACAAATAGATGACGCATTGAAATCGTTTTTGAAGCAGGAAGCAGACATCACATTGTCGAAATTGTGTTCTGTGAATATGATGAGAGCAATGGAAGTCAAATCACTCCGTGGTAGTCTGAACAAGCTCAAGCTAGAAAGACGATGGAGGCTGTATCGTTTCTGGGTTGACACATACAAGAAAATGCAACTTGAAAAAATGCCGCACGTAGAAAAAGAACACTTGCAAATTATGAAAGATTACAAAAAAGAGAAAAAGGAATCAGATGCGAGAATTTTCAAAAAATCAACAGTCATTGCCATGACGACAACAGGTGCCGCACGTTATCATGACATTCTCCAAGAAATTGGTCCAAAAATCGTAATTGTAGAAGAGGCTGCGGAAGTGTTAGAGGCCCACATTGTTACCGCTCTCAGTCCAAAGTGTGAACACCTCATTCTGATAGGGGATCATAAACAACTAGAGCCGAAACCTTCAGTCATGCAACTGGCCATGAAATACAACCTGTCTCTTTCAATGTTTGAACGCATGTTGAACAACGGAATTGAAAACCATTGTCTACACCGGCAACATAGAATGCGACCAGAGATATCAACACTTGTTCGGGATATATACCCTGTTTTGGAGGATAATGAAAATGTTCTGGATTATGAGCATATCAAGGGAGTGAAAAAAGACGTCTTCTTCATAAATCACAACCGTCCTGAGGATTACACAGATGACATTAAAAGCTATTCAAACATGCACGAGGCACAGTTTATCTCTGAGCTGTGCAGATATTTGCTGAAGCAAGGTTACGAGGGCACTCAGATTACAGTGTTGGCTGCCTACACTGGTCAGATGTTTTCTATTCGTCATTGCATGCCAAAAGAGGAATTCAAGGGCGTCAAAACTGTTGCCATAGACAACTTTCAGGGAGAGGAAAACGATATAATTCTGCTGTCACTCGTCCGAAGCAATAAAGAAGGAAAGATTGGGTTTCTCTCCAGGTCGAACAGGATATGTGTCGCTCTCTCCCGAGCCAAGAAAGGACTGTATGTCATTGGAAACTTTGACATGTTTGTTGCGCGCAGTTCACAATGGTCACATATTGTGAGCAAAGTCAAACAAGCAGAGCAGTTCGGTGATTCCCTGCCTCTTTTTTGCCAAAACCACCCACATGAAGACGGTGTACAGGTGACAGCATCTGCAGACTTTGCCAGAGCACCTGATGGCGGATGTCAGATACCGTGTGGATTCATACTACCGTGTGGTCATTCATGTCGTCTGGCTTGCCATCCAATGGACAGACAACATACCGCATATGAATGCAAAACAGTATGTTCTGAGACTTGCCCTAATGGTCATCCTTGTAATAAACCATGTCATCTCGGGAAGGTATGCAACTGTCAAAAATTGATGAAGAAACCTCTTCCTTGCGGACATGTCACAACTGTGCGGTGTTGTGAATTTTCGGAAGTTTGTGTTTGTTCTGTCTTTGTGAATAAAGTTCTCCCCTGTGGTCACCAAGCTGAAATGAAGTGCCATGCGGATCCAGCTAGGAACTCTTGTGAAGTTTTAGTCACAAAAATACTCGTGGACTGCGGACACACTGCAGAATTGCCCTGTTCGAACGTAAACTTCGACTTTAAATGTCAACAGAAAGTGTCACTTGTTCGTGGGGAATGTGGACACCGTTATCAAATTGCCTGTCACGAAGATTCAAAAACATATCAAAGCGAAAACTTATGTCAGGAACTCGTAACAAAAACATTCCTGTGCATGCATGTTGAGGAAGTGATGTGTTGTGGTTCTCAATATGCTAACTGTATAAAGCCCTGCACCTTCCAATGTCATCATGGGCACTCTTGCGGCAAACTGTGTCACTTTCAAACTCCCTGTAAGTGTGAATTTCTAGTTGAGAAGACATTGCCGAAATGTGGTCATCAATTGCTGATAGAATGCCACTCAGAAGACGACCCGGCGTGGTTGCAAGTACCCTGTGAAGAAATTGTTTCTAAAGTAATCCCTCTCTGTGGTCATTCACAAAACATGAAATGCAAAGAATCCCCTCAGACGCAACAATGTCAGGAAATTGTTCTCAAAAAACACCCTCTGTGTGGTCACATGGTTGCGATGATGTGCTCATTGACCCCCTCACGCTCCATGCAATGCAAAACTATCGTGCACAAGACACTCGTCTGTGGACACAAACAAAATCAGGAGTGTTCAGCAAGCAACGTTACGTGTACTGTGAATGTATTAAAGACCATTCCATGCGGCCATCAACAGCTTGTCCCTTGCAACAAAATGGACGCCCCAGTAACTTGCATGAAGAGGATAACAAAGAAGTTTCAGAAATGTGGACATGTAACAGAAATGTTCTGTTGGGCATCAGCACTATATCTGCATTGTCTCCAGACAATTACTTTAACAAAATGTGGACATCAAAAGACGGTTTCTTGTGAGAAAAACATGCATGGAGTTGAAATGGAAAAAGCTGAAAGATTATACAAATGTAAGTTGACATGTTTTACCGAAGTGACATTGCATTTTGCGTGTGGCCATTCTGAAACGACTCAGTGTCATTTGTCCGAGACTGTGCGACAATGTTCAAAAGGATGCTGTCCTCACATCTTATCATGTGGACATCCCTGTACTGGAAAAGACGACGACTGCTCAAAGAAT